AGACAATATAAAGAATAAACACAAATACCATAACATTCTAGGTTTACCAGGAAACCTAGTCATAAATGCCACCGGCTAGTATAATATATGTGATCGCTTCTCGCGACTCACATAGCGTTAATAGCATCTCCTTTTGCTTTTTCTAGTTTAGCTTTTAGATGTATCTGAAAAGTGATAAATAACATTATATCACATGAAGCGCATGGATGCGACGCGTATTTTTTATGCTAGCTTGCACTGTCAAAAGAAGACTTTTGCGCATCACCCAAAATGTCATGGGTACATTCGTTTAAATATGTGCATAACAGTTCAATGCCTAAATATATAGATGTTCGTTTCAACAGAGTGAAGCGGTTTTGCATTTATGTACCACATGGGCGAACGTACAATGGAGCAATGGCCTGTATAAAAAGTCCACTAGGATTTTAGACAAGGGTACAGTGTAATCAGCACCTTGCGAATCTATAAAATCAAGAAGAACATTTCGTTCGTGCGCTGGTGGTAGTACTGAAAATCAGCGTAAAAGACTGTCTAATAATACACAACGCAAAAGATAGTGTAGTCAGTTTTGTGACTGACCAATACCGACATTTTCGTAAAATCAACATATAAAAGTTTGGCAAAGACAGTTATAATTAAAAATCTGCATACCTGGCCATTACGAACAGCTCACGGACCATCCTCGCTCCCTCACCGATGAATTTCTGCACAAGTTCCGAGCCACTCACCCGAATAAAGGTGCACTCGGTGTGATGGGCGACAGCACGCGCCAGCAACGTTTTTCCTGTACCCGGAAGTCCATACAGGAGAACACCCTATGGTGAACGACAGATAAAGGGACTGTCAGCAGTGAGCCATAAAGACAGTTTCGCATACTTTTGGCTGTGCTATACCGAGTGCCTCGAACAACTCCGGATGTTTGACGGGCAGCTCAATCACCTCTCTAATTTCCTTGATCTGCTTGTCCAAGCCGCCGACCATTTCATACGTCGAGTCTGGTACTTTTTCGACCATCATCAAGCTGACCAATGGATCGACCTGAATCAACCATAAAAATAAAATTCTCCGGCAAATTGGAAGAAAATTAGCACTTGCCTTATTCGGAAGGATCTTGTGCAGCACGTAGCTGTCGGCGCGCAAGGCAACTCGGCAGTTCGGTGTCACCTGCGTGATATCGATGTTTTTGTCAATGTCCACCACGTATTTACCTTCAGGATGAACCTTAAATAGACTTGATACTTACTTAAGTAACAATGCTCACTTTCAGCACTATTATATAGTGGTGCAGTATACATACCTGGTTTCTTGAGAAATAGTAACGGTAATTTTACCATTTCAATTGCGACTTAGGTTTATTATCCCTAGGGTAGATTGAACCTGACCTGCGTCGGAACAAGGGCATGATAAAAATCGAGATCATAAGCGACATCGAAGAATGCGCAAGGCATATTTTCCACAGAAACTATGACAACAGAAAGAAACTATCATGAGAAAGCAAAACATCTACGCGAGGACTGACATATCGTCACAGATTAAAGCAAATCTCAATATCCTGACAGTAAATCTAGATGAAAGGAAGAAAATCAACCGCCTGCATTTATCGCTGAAGAAAACAGAGAGAACGACAATCAGCGTGAAATCGCAACGTCGCCACCGCAAAGTTAATGTCGCCATCGTCAGTTCCCCTTCTGAGTCAACCTTTGTATGAGAGTCAGAGAAAGTCTTTGTTTCTGAATCCTCTCTCATATTTTACACCCATAACGTAGCTAGAAACTTGACATTTACCTTGCTTCCACATCCTCTTATCTTTTTATTTGTCGTTTTTAATTTCTGCGTACTTCAGCAAATAAATTTATGATCAAATGTGGAGCTAACTCATAAGCAGACATTTCATATGATTCGGGTTCAGATACCAAATAGAGATGGTTTACACAAATACTGTCAATGTCTCACATAGGTATTACACTGGTCCTACGGCAAAATCGCATCACCCCCTTGCCTTTAGTGGTCTGAAGCATGGCATTAAGTCAGACCCAGCCTCCATGACATTTAAATTCATGAAATACATAGATACATGTTGGCAGAATCAAGGGAGCACCTTTAGGCTCGAAAGCGTTATAGCACTATGAGCATAGGTTTAAACAACTACAATTGGTTTATGCTAGTACCTTCGTAGATAACAACTCTATGAGTGAAACCAGCTATAAAACAAAACCACCGGTTCCCCTACCGCTAAAAGCCTTGGGTACGTTTAAACAAACACACCTATGATCAAACGCTGTTTCCCATCAGATACCTCAGTTTTGTTCGTAAATTTATCAATCATGTTGGAAGCTTTAGAGCGATATACGATCTGTTGTCTTCTTCAACATGGGCTGTGAGAAGGCGATCATCGTCCAACACATCGAATTGTGTATACTTACATTCACAACGTTAAGCGTTTAAACTTTATCAGTAAAGTTCGCCAAAATCACTGAGGATTAAGACTATTCCAACAAACACCTCCACAGGTGTCTGAAGCCTAAAGCAGCAACTCCCGTGATTCTGTCAGGAATAACGGGCTAAGAAAATGAATGCACATTTAAGTGAATGAAAAGAGGAAAGACCAAGTGAACGACAAAATTAATCAGTGAATGAATAAACCAACAGAAGAAATGCATCGCTTTTAAAGTTCGTTTTGTAAACCAGGTTAGTAGCTATGAAACTCACACGCCAGAAATTACCTTAACAAGAACTTTCTTTTTGTCCATCGCCCGAACGACCTCACCTACGTAAGAACCCTGCTCATGCAGCATGCTAATTTCCTCTTTGAGCATTCGCACCTTAGCGTTCAGCTCGTTTCGTTGTGCTTCCAAACGACGAAGGTTGTGTGATTTTTCGTTAACAGCATGCTAAATTAAGCATTTAATTAAAGATGCGGAATCGCCCCTGTCACGATGCGGTCGAACCTGAATATCGCCCAGCTTTGCAATGTAGTAATGTTTGATACCGTCCGATTCTTTGTTCAAAGCAACTTCTGTCATGGCTGATGGATCCGACTTTTTATACGGTTAGCCTGCAACAGAGAGTTAAAAATTTTCGACAAATTCATTACAAAAAAAATTATACTAGACGTCGCTAACGAGCATAAAAATTTACGTATGTAACAATTTAAAAACCGTTTAAGTTCTCCACCCTTTCAACACAAATCGTTCTAGATGTGACAAAGCATGGAGTGCATTTAAAATGACCTCCGAAAATAAAGAACGGTATATCTCTGGATGTGGGGGAAGGAGAAACATTAGTAAAGAATTCTGCTTCGAACTTTCTTGGTATCGGGTTCGAATCAGGAGAAACACAAAATCTCTCTCAACAGCTAACCCCCACTGAGAAAGTAATTAAATTCGGTCCAACTAGTCGATAAACCAATAGTAAATCGCTGATCCGCAAACAACAGACAGTGTCGTGTTCTGGTGCAGTCAAAGCAGAAAGGACGACAGGTAGGGCCGTCCTATCCAACGCGAGAGCCTCATAGGCAGGCAACTTCAGTGGCTTTCTTCTAAGTAAAAGAGACGATAATTTTCGGTCCAACTAGAGATAGACTACTGCGTTCTTTGCACATAACCCATTTTGTGTGGTTTTTCACGACTGCCAACACACAAATAAAATTCTTCGTGTGTATGTGTATGAAAAATTCAGATTCAGTATTCAAATGAAAATATAACAGGACAAAGCAGCCAAAAACTTCTCTATCCAATAGGTAGAAAAAACATGATAAAAAAAACTTTCACACGTTTATTGGCCTCATGTGTGAACATGAACGCCCTATGGCGACAGTGAAATTTTTACATTTTATTTTCCCCAAACATTCAGCGATATCCTGATCTTCTTGGTCTACGTCAGGCATGTAAATCTTGAAAGATGTCATCGCTGGTGTCGTCATTTTGTCGCGATATGGCGAAAGCTTAGTATGATACAATCACTGTTTCTGAAATAGAAAATCGGGATTGTTTCAACCGATAGAATGCATAGTTCAAACTCAAAACATCCCGGGTTCGAGCTTCGTTCGGGTAACTCGTTCTTCATCTTTCTGAGTTAGACAAGTGAGTAGCAATTCATGTGAAACAAACAAGAGAGAGCACGATATATTCATCATCAGACCGTACGGATAACTTTATAATGAATGCGGAATTCCTAGCTGACGACAAAAAGAAGAATATAAGAGCAAGTATTGGGTTACGTGAAAGAATGGTGCCAAAATGTCTATTCATGAAAAGTGGAGAAATACGTCCTATGGGTTACGGATATCCTTTCTTGTGTTCTTTTGAAAGCACAGTGAAAACGATATGGTGATAACAACCAAGATTCAGCGAATATTTAATTTTCTTGGACACCTGCCGCAGTATCAGGCATGTGAATTAACCTCAAAAATAATATCCTGAATTTCATATATTTTATGAAAAACGACGTCCAGCCATAAAATAAACATGAGTGGTCTGTGATTACACCCTGTTTTTAAAAAACAGTCTCAAAAAAATCAATCTACTCACATTTGAGTAAACGATACGCCAGAAAATATTAAAGCCGGGAACGAAACATTGATAAATAAAAATTTTCGACACTAACATATCATTTTCAATGTTACCCTACAAAAGTCTCATGCACCATAAGATCTTTAAGTTCTAACGCTACAAAATAAACCCCGATGCCATGGTAATTCTATATTGTAGATATTCTAAATAGTAGCTTAAGAGGATTTCCTCTCTGTGAACTTCCATCTCGAATCTACTCATTTGTATTTAATACAAAAAACAATACTACTTTACCAGTCAGCTTTCACATGCGAAAAGTGTCAGACAATTATCAATTCCGAAGACCGCTTTTCCTTCCGAGTCGCGGAGGCAGCGGCACCAGGCAGAGTTCTAAATGTTTGCGATCTTACACTTCACTCAAAGATAGCTTCGTGCAAGATAATACGAGTCTGTGGCAAAGGAAATTCAGTTTTTTTCTTTCTTCTTTCGATCTTTGGCCTGTCGGATTGGGAACTTGGTTATTTTGGTATCGTTTGTTCTCAAAACATTCGTAAACCGTGCAAAAGCCAGTTGCAGCATCATCATCTTTATCTTCATCTTCCATCGCCGCTTCTCCTTTCAGGTCCCGGAGGCAGACACGTCAGACAGAGCTTCCAATATTCCCAGTCCTGTTCCAGAGACTGAGCTTCGGCAAAAGACAAATGCAGTCTGGAACAGACTCCTTCCATATGTTTGTACCAGGTTAATCCTTGCCGTCCCCTGGGCCTTTTGCCAGTCGGATTTGCAAGGAACAGTTGCTTAGCCTTCCTTTCTGGAGGCAATCGCAACACATGCCCAAGCCATCGCAGCTGTGACTTCT